CTATCCGTTCCCTCTTTGTTTATGGATCATCTTCCGCACCTCGGTCCTACCGTCCAATCTCAGAGGTTCACCAAGGGCTTCCTCAAGTATTCTGTCTATTTCTTTCCCCCTGTAAGTCAATTAGCATCTCCTTACCCATGTTCCAAAGCCTACAGAGTGTTACCTGGGAATATGCTTTATTACATGACAAGGCCAATTGGGCCAACTGCGGTCGCAGGTGGATGACTGCATGAAAACATTTTGAGTGCTCCATAGTGTGCACCACCGAGGTGCGCACTATTGAAACACGCAGGCAGGCTTTTCAGCGACTGGGCCACGGAGAGCGCAACTGATAGAAACGTGTCAAATTGTTCCGTTTTAAATTCTGGCGAGGTTTCCCACCTCTGTGAGCCAAATGGAAGCGGTGATTCTCCGCCAAAAGGTTTCCTTGACAAATAAGTTTCCGCATCGGTAAGCGCACGGGTAAGCTTAGCACTGTACGACAGAATCTTATGACTATACCCTAGAATACCATCTAATTCAGGTGAATCTGAAGGGATTCGTGATTACTGACGTCAATAGCGGATTTAAATGGAGAGTGGCAAGTCAAAACAGGATATGAGAGCGTTAAATAAACTCAGCCGAGCACATTACGGCACCAAATATAGCGCCAATCCAGTCACCTAACTTCCTCGCCTTCACCTTGTCACGGTCCCTAAAATCATCTACAGTACAATCTGCGGGCAACTGGTCTTTTCGGATAGCGCTTGAATCGCTAGAACCTCCAAATTACTTCTTGGTGCTATAACTCAGACCAGTTCAAAACCCTCAGCCATTCTAGCACTAATCCTGCAACAACAGGAATCGGGACCACCTCTGACTAGCAAGGGATCGCTTCTTTTCTGAGCCAGCGAGGCCTATCATGTTCCGACGACTGGAAGGTTAGTGCCGTACTCCTTGGGGAGGACAAAACACTGACTTACACACTGGAAAGCTCTACAAGTAGGTAGAGTTAGAATATATCACAAATCACTACATTCTAAATGAACTCCCAACGCGTGACCATTTTTTGAGAACACAAAATTTCGCTTCAGAGCAGAACAGAGAGACGGAAAGGCTTCCAAAAATCGCAAAGTTTTATTCCTTCTGTTATATTCCAAGTTATCCCCCTCTAAAGTTGAATCCCACTTGTGCAAGGTTGAAAGAAAAACCACAAGAAAGGGTGAATTTTAGGCCAACTCCGCTCAAATGATGAGTTCGGTCTGCGTCTTTTGTGCAAGAGTGTGCTTCACTGAGCAAGAAGTTCTGTTTAGGAGCATCGCACGGGACCAGGTCAAAATCCACCAACAAAAATCGTTGGCCGATTATACAAATTATTACAAATTATTTTAACCTGACTCTGAAGTTCCTGAGGCTAGAAAAAATTGACCATCCAGTCCAGTCCCCAAGTCGGGCACTAGAACCTACATCAAGCCAGTGACTTGTTGGTCCCCACTCTAACAAATCCAAATATCCCCTTCTAAAATTGAATCCCACTTGTGCAACGGTAAAGGAAAAACCACCCAACCAATTATGATTATTAGACAGAACAAAAGTCTTGGTACGTGCATGAGGCCGGAGTCAGGCAAACACTCTATATCCGGAAAAAGGGAGCGTGGAACGCGTTATTCACCCCCTTCGAAACTTCGAAGTGATCGACGATTTCAAAGAGATTTCTGGGCGTTCTACGACAATCGTGAGCATGGCCTCGTTCTGCCAAAAAAGAGGGTGACTGTTGTTTCTAATGGGTTACCCCCTCATACATTGTGATTTTGACTACAAGTTTTCGGGATAATGGTAGGTTCTTGAGCCGTTGATTTCTCAACTCTCAATCGAAAAAAAATTCTGCACTTCAGCACAACGTATTTGATACCTTCTACCAGCTGTCAAGTGGGCGCGTTAGCCACCAAAACACCCTGCGAAACAAGAAGGGATCACTATACTCAAAGTACAGTTGTCACGAATAAGCCAATGAAAAGAATGAAAAGGTGCACCTAGATTCCTTTGAATAATTAGAAGAAATATAATAACGCTTTGATCATCTCCTTGCAGGCGCGCTGAAGCCTTGAAAATTGGGAACGAGAAAAGCTAAAAGAAATGGCGCGACAAGCACTACATAGCGATGCACTGCCTCAAAACTGTTCTATTGTGAATACGCGTTGCCTTGCTTGGAATTTGGGCAATTCTATAGCAAATCAAGAGTTTTTGAAAGTTCCCCACTGTGTTTTGAGCCCGGCTGCTGTTGTAAATATCGTACATTTACCACGATGTTTTATTTATTTATTTATCACGGTCCCAATGTTCAAATCCTAATTATTAAAGGCAGCGCCCACGTTCACTTGATGTTCCTACGCCCTTTCTGGATATCATAGCCCTCCCCATAAGGATGCAGTATGTACTAGTTTTGCATCTCACAAAGGCGAGAGGATAGCGCCTATCGCTAGTAAAGAGTCGACCGCCCCGCCCACCTGGCGACCACGACGCCCAACTTCATTTCTAATGGTTGCCTGATGGTGCGGTTGTTCCATTGCTGCTTCTCTCCACGTCGTGTGGTGGGGTGTGTGTCAGGCCGCGCCCGAAACTAGGTCGCCGCGCTGGGAAGTGGGTCACCGCGCGCGGCGATTACATGCTTTAACTTGTTTGCATGTTTGAACATGTCTACCTGTTTGGACATGTTCTTGGCAGATGGAAGATGAGGCGCAAAGAGAGGAACGCTCCAAAAGCAAACTGCGATAGGGTCATATTGATCGGAAGTTGGCAAAATGCCAGGTCAGGACTCACCGCCGCGCCACGCGAACAGGTCGCCGCGCGCGGTGACCTAGTTTCGAGCGCGGCGGTGACTCCTGGCCGTCTCCCCCGTGTGGTGAGAGTGAGGTGATAAGGGGAAACAGCTGAAATCAACAAATGAGAACTCGTGCAACCACTCCTTCTCTTCGCCTTAAGCACGTACAACCGCTATTCGGTATGAAAACTCCTTATAGAGCATTCTGCATGTATTTCTTTTTAATTTTTCTTCACTAATAGATTTCTTGCTACCCTGATATTACTACCTGAGCCGCATACTCATCAAATTTGAACGCGGGCGCTGCCTGCTCTAATGAAGGAAACTGGATACTGTGCCGTTTTGACTAGAGGTTGGAAAGAACCCTGGCTGAGGATCATTCTTATTTTGAGAAACATACACTCCTTATCTCTGGGCGGAAGCAGGCGTCAGCACTGACATGGCAGAGGATGGGTTATTTGTGCGCGATATTTTTGAGACAACTGTCATCTTGTTCTGTGTTCGGCAAAGAAATAGTGTATATAAAAGGATAAAAAGGATAAAGTCTTCGCCGTTGATCAATCCCTTTGTGGGATGCGGCACGCATTCTACTTCCATTCAGAATCGTAGTGGCTTATTGAATGCGATGTGGCCTATACAATGACTTGCGGTGGCCAGCCGATGTACAAGTCAGTGTTTTATCCTCCCAGACGAATCTGGTACCAATTTACCGTCCCCGGAGGTAGAAGGCTTGGTTGGCCTGGGCGGGAGTCGACCCGGGATTTGAACCCGGCGCGCGCGAGTGTGTAGTATGTGCCGAAAGAAATGGGTTACAAACTGTCCCAAGATGAAAGTATCTCTTTGAAATTGCTGTCATTGCCACGTCCAGTTGAAGCCAACCACGCTTACCTTACCCCAGAGATTTCGAGCGTCTGACGCGCATTCATTGTGATATGAATGCGGTTTAGCCTTCACCTGGCGATTTCACGGGACATACCGATCTACCCATAGGTCAGGGTTTATTCTCTCCAGAACGAACATATTGACACATGATTCGAATAATTTTACCACTTTCGCTACCTGACCTTTCAACCAGGGCACATCAATTCGCTTGGGTATTTTAGTCGAGTCTTACGACCCCCTTTTTTTGGGGGGGGGAGGGGTGGTACGACCCCCCCCCTTCCAGCCCTCTCTGTTCCTCCTCATCGAATCGAGCCGTCGAGCGGGGGCATATAGTACGCATGAAACAGGAAAATCACCAAAAGTCAACCACCACTCCCACAACGCCAAAACGTAAATACGACCCCCCCCCTTTACAACGTCCGTGAAGCGAGAAAAATCAACTATCAAAATAAATTTTTCCCAGCCCAAATACGACCTTCTCCTGGCGGCCAAATACGACCCCTTATTGGGGATTCTCCAACAACGATGTGCCCTGCCTTCAACCGGATGCATGGCATGGTATGATTGACTGGCTCTGGAGCGCAAGGCTCGTCCTGGTGTGAGAGATCTTCTGCTAGATTCGATCTCGCCCCCCCCCCCAAATTCTTCGCCGGTATGACTCTTCTCTTAGATAAAGAGAGAGGTGCGATGCATATCTGCGATCAACTATATGAAATAGTAGTTTTCGTCGCCGCCAACCATTGGGGGGAGGGGTTCAGTGCGCGTGAAACGAGAAAAATCAGTCAATAGGAAACTCATCAAGCCAGATACAACCCCCTCTCCTCCCTTCAACGACCCCCGCTGGGGACCCCCAACGTGCCCTGCTGGCGGGAGTGGTTTTGACGCGCAGATTCTGGGCGCGGTAGGTGGCGTCGTGCAATATAAGATCACCTCTACCTCATACCATTCATAATAAGGAAAGCAAAGCTCCCAATGCTCCTTAGAAAACGAGGTCCGAACAGTCGGGCTATGAGAAGCCCTGCCTTTACTATTCAGAGAGGGAAGCCATTCCATGACTCTATGAATGACTACAAACAACGTCTGCAGGAAAAACATTAATAAACAGGTCTCTAAGGGACGCTCATTTGACCGACATGTTTCATAATGTTTTGTTATCGCCGAAAAAGCTCAATAAGCTGATG